TCCTTCCTTCCTTCCTTCCTTCCTTCCTTCCTTCCTTCCTTCCTTCCCTCCCTCCCTCCCTCCCTCCCTCCTTCCTTCCTTCCCTCCCCTCCCTCCTTCCCTCTTCCTTCCTTCCTTCCTTCCTTCCTTCCTTCCTTCCTTCCTTCCTCTCTTCCTCTCTCTCTCTTTTTCTTTCTTTCTTTTTTTTTGTTAACACAGAAGCTCATGTAGCTGAGGGTTACCTTAAACTTCTGATCCTTCTGTCTCTTTGTTCCCAGTGCTGGGTCTGCCCAGTCTTAGCAGTGTTAAGGATCAAGGCCAGGGCCATGTTCATGCCAGGCAACATCAGAGCTACCACAGGGCCATCACAGGACTACATCCCCAGATCTCTTTATTTTTCTTTTGCTGTTTGTGTAAAGTGAATGTGTTCACATAAGAATCCACATTTAGTCATGCGGTAGTGGCACCTGCTTTTAGTCCCAGCACTTGGGAGACAGAGGCAGGCGGATCTCTGAGTTCAGGGCCAGCCTGGTCTACAGAGTAAGTTCTAGGATGGCCAGGGCTACAAAGAGAGACCCTGTCTTGATAAACAAAACAAAAAAGTACACCACTTTTTAAATAATAATTCAAGTTTATGTTAAGTCCCTTCTTTAAATATATTTAGCTTCTAGCTTAAAAATGTTCTTATTGCTCTGTTCATGTGAAAGAAAATTCTTCTTTCATCCTGTTTTATTCAGTGCTCCACCTAAAGTACTTATATATAGCAACCAGTATTTATATAGTACTTTGCTATTTAAAAATGATTTTACATGTCTTTCCTCATATACATCTTGGTAGTGTTCTTCTGCACTGGGAATGGGTATAGTTCACAATAATGTGACTCCCATTTTACAGAGGAGAAAACTGAAACTACAAAAAGGTCGGTGTGTGTGTGTGTGAAGCTAAAGGAGGAGAGCTACTCGTGGGTATTGATTTTTCAGATTTGAATCACAAAGCCCCACAGCCCACTGAATAATAAACTGAGTGTAAAATGTGGTAGAAACTAAGAGAAGTACATTCAACTTCTAAAGAGATTTAAACTAAAATTTTGAACTTTTTGGAAAGGTGAATTCTCCATACATGTGAGGGGCAGAGGTCGGCGGGTGTCCTTCTCAATCATTCTCCACCTTAATATTAAGTCTTCTTATTCCTAGTATAACTTAGTATCACTCTGTCACCTTGGTATTTTTATTTAGATTAGTGTGTTTGTGTGTATATGTGTGAGTGCAGGTGTATGTGTGTGTGCCATCATGTATGTGTGGAGTTGAAAAGGACAACTTAGGGGAGTCAGTTTTTTTCTTCCATTGTGGGTTCTGGGTTCTGGAGATGGAGCTCAGTTGGCAGGCTTGCTCAGCAAGCGTGTTTACCAGCTGAGCCTTGTTTCTTTTTAAAAGTGACTCTGCTAGCTAAGCTTAGTTCTTTCCATGCATTTTAACATTACTCTGAGAAGTCACTCATGATTGATAGAGCCTCCCTTTCAATTCTCTCTCTCTCTCTGACTTTATCAAGAGACTGATTGCCCTGGTGTCTCTCCTCTCTTCGTTAACACCCTTGATAGTGAAGTGCAGTGTCTCTCAGTTGATGCACTCTTTACATTCAGGAATCTCTTGAAGTAGGAGAGAAAGGGATGCTAGCTATGGAGTCCTTTTTTCTCATCTACAAATGCAGTAGAAAATTCCCTCCACTTTTACAGGCTTGGCAGTTGAATTCGTATAGTTATGTACTAAACAAATTCGGTTAAAGATTAATCTGCTCGCTGGTCGAGGTGGCACATGCCTATGATCTCAGCATTGCAGGAGGCAGAGGCAGGCATATCTCTGTGAGTTTGAGGCCTGCCTGGTCTATAAATCAAGTCCAGGACAGCCAAGGCTATACAGAGAAACCCTGTCTCAACCCCCCCCCCCAAAAAAAAAGGTTAATCTGCTCAAAATTTGCTGTGAAGTCAAACAACTTTCTGTTTTGTATGTTTTTGTTTGTTTGTTTGTTTGTTTTTATTGTTGTTGTTTTTCCTTTGAGAAAGGGTCTTACACTGTAATTAGGCTAGCCTCAAATTCAGTGTGTAGCCCAAATTGGCTTTGAGATCATGGCAATACTCCTGTGTTCTTCCCTAAGTTCTGAGATTATGCATGTGAACTGCTTCATCTTGCCTGTTCTGTCAGAGAACCATCACTTTGAACCAAAACTAGGACTCTTTAATTGGCCTAAGAACTGGTAGCAGCCAGTTGACAGAGTTACAGTTTGTCTCTATGATCTGAAGGACTCTTAAAGTATATAAAAGATTTTCAAACTGTAGAACTGAAGCTACTAGTTACTAAGCAACCTACGTTGCCACCACATCACCATTCAAGTGAATGAAGATTTGGTTGTGGTAACATGATAAGCACTATCTGGACAGTTGCTCCTTCTCCCCTTTTTGGTTTTGGTTATGGCCACTGGGACAACTATAGTTTATCATCTTGGCACATTAGAGGGAATAATTATATAATATTTAGGGACAGGTTTTCACTTTTTACAAGGTCACAGTAGACATTTTGTATTATAGGTCATGGTACTTTGATAATGCTTTTGATTTAGAGACCTTTTCTGATACTCTTGCTGAGATCACAGGTGCTCAGCTCAAGATAGCAAACTCTGGAAGGCCATTAATAATATTTAAAATAGACTGGGCTAGTTCAAAGGCTAGACCAACTCTGATAAAAGCTTTGAAAACTGGGATAGACTAACCCGGTCTGTGTCTTTTTTCTTAATTAAATTTTTTCTTTTGCTTTTTTGTTTGTTTTTTGTTTTTGAGACAGGTTTTCTCTGCATAGCCTTGGCTGTTCTGGAACTCACTATGATGACCAGGCTGGCCTTGAACTCAGAGATTCACCTGTCTCTGCATCCTGAGTGCTGGGACTAAAGGCATGTGCCACCCACTGCCCTGCTTAATTAAAAACATTTTTAAAAGATTTATTTTTTGGGGTCTGCAGAGATGGCTCAGTAGTTAAGAGTACTGGCTGATCTTTCAGGGGACTCAGGTTTGATCCCCAGCACTCACATGGCAGTTCAAAACTGGCTGTCCCAGGGGTCTGCCATCCTCTTCTGGCCTCTGTGTTCCGGGCATGTATGTGATGCACCAACATACATGCAGAAAAGATACTTATATACATAAAATAAAATAATGAAGTTAGTTTTTTTTTTTTTTTTCAGTGTATGAGTGTACACATTCTGTTGTATGTCTGCATCCCACACATGTGCAGTTCCCACAGAGGTCAGAAGCGGCTTCTGATCCCCTGGAACTGGAGTTATGGATGGTTATGAGCCACCCGATGGGGGTGCTGGGAACCAAACTTAGGTCCTCTGAAAGATCAGCAAGTGCTTTTAACCACTAAGCCATCTCTCCAGCCCTAAATTTATTTTTAAAATTAGCATACAATCCCAGCACTGAGGAGGCAGAGGCAGGTGGATCTCTCAGTTCGAGACCAGCCTGGTCTACAGAGTGAGTTCCAGGACAGCCGGAGCTACACAGAGAAACCCTGTCTTGAAAAAAACAAAAATAAGTAAATAAATAAGCAAGCATAAAGTATTAGCTATCATAATTGCTTTTTTTTGACTTAAAATAAATTTATAATGCAATTTTAAAGTGTGTTTCAATTGATTCTCTACTCCCATGTTCTCTTCTGTCCTCCTCCCCTCCCCTGGCCCCTCTTGAATCCCTCTCTTCTGCTCTCATGTCACAGGTGTTCTTTTGAATACCACCCCTTCCTTGGCACCTCTTTTCACCCTCTCTTAGTCACCTTTCTAGGGTTTTTGAGCCTTTACCCTTGTTTATACCCATATATACGTGAGGGAGAACATGTGGTTGTCTTTCTGATTTTGGGTTACTTTGCTTAATATATTTTCCAGCTCATTCCATTTTCCTGTAAATTTCATTTTTCTTTACAGCTGAGTAAAATTTCATTGTATATTGTTTTAGTTACTTTTCTATTGCTGTGAAGAGATACCATGACCAAGGCAACTTATTGAAGAAAACATTTAGTTGGAGGCTTGCTTATAGTTTCAGGGGGTAAGTCCATGACCCTCATGGCAGGGAG